GTACCCATTCTTTTTCTCTTTCTGTCACATGTTGACTCACCCTTGGTCCCACTAAATTGGCTGAAGAGGCCTACTATCAATGTACCAAGGAATAAGAACAAAGAATTGGCCTATCTATATTAAAAAAGAAAATCTACTTGACTGCATTAATCCTTCTGCTTACGGTACTGTTTAATGTCTAAAACATAAATACTTGATGTCTTATGTCTAGTCGTTGTATGTTATGATATTCAAGATGCCAATCATGTAAAATGTCTATGCACTGAATGCCTCCTATCTCTTAGTGTACTTCTGTTACTGCCTCCTTTAGTTGTAAAAATATACAACTCTACACCCGGCCAAAGTTTGAGGGTGAGGTAATTGTTACTTTCTGTTGTCTCAAGAATGCAATGAAGTGTAACCACATTTTGTGTGCATTTTTCATTTTGGAGAGCATATTTCTTGCATTTGAATTGCTATTTCTGATCTACGCAACAGGTATACATATATTCTAGTGGTAGCAGGTTGGCTCAAAGGCTAATATTTGGAAAAACAAACCATGGGGACCTAAGAAAATATTTGTCTGGGTTTTTTGACACCACAGTGGGGTAATGTTTCCATGTTGATATTCCCCTAGACGATTCCTGTCTACATTTATTCACGCAAAACTCTATTTTGCAGGAACAAAAGAGAGACACGCAGTTATGTTGAAATTTCAGAGTCTCTCGGTGTTGATAAACCATCAGATATTTTATTCGTCACTGATGTACATCAAGAAGCCACAGCTGCAAAGGCAGCAGGTATGACCGTTTTTATCAATCCATTATCTTATTTATAAGTTAAATTTTACCAATAAACTTAGTCTATGTTTCGCTTAGCTTATTGTCAGAAAATAGTTTCTTTTTTAAGCTTTCTTAGGAAGCTGACAACAGTAAGTAAACTGAACCAAAACATCATAGTAACTAACTTTATCTCTTGCAATGAAACTCTGCAAATGTAATGCTTTATTTTAATATCTGATTCACTAACAGTGTAAACTCCTTTATACTACATGAATCAGAATCTCTTTTTAACTTGTGTGTAATTCTGTGTAAAATTAAACTTGTGAAAATTTGATATGAATTGCAATTATTTATCTAACACCCTTTCTAATCCTTCATTTACTTACACCACTTGCCACTCATTCATCACTGAGTGGCTAACTGCAAGCAAAACTCAAAATTTAACTTGACATTTGTGTAGGCCATAGTGCCAATGGTGTGAGTGTGACCCCCCCAATTGGTATGGTAGAGGAATTTCCCTAGGATCCCACTTATATGACCAAATAAGAATTTACTTATCTTGTCTGCACATATTTTTCTTAACAATTGTCCTGTTTCAGGTTTGGAGGTGATAATTTCTATTCGACCTGGAAATGGACCCCTCCCTGACAATCATGGGTTCAAGACAATCAAATCCTTCGCGGAGATCTAAGACTAATGGTATTAAATATGTTATCATAAATAAGAATAACAGTGTAACGTTCACTTCTTGGTATAAAATAATGTCATACATTTTGCTTCAATTTCTCCAAGCTTCAGTTTAAATTGCCTCTTCAATGCTTTTTAAAATGATTTAAATATAGTCACTGTACATTTTCATCACTTTAAGACATATTCTTCTTCTCCAAGCATTTATTAGTGAATAAGAACTGCTTGAATAATCCTATTTTTAACTACTTATGAGAAAAAAAAAAAGTAGAAACGAGTCAAAATAAATTCATACACTTAATTTTATAGAAAATTCATTTAACTTCTATAAAAATTAAGTTGCAGAAAAAATAAAAATAAAACATAACTTGTATGAGGAGTTTAATTCATTGTATCTGTGTGCTTTATTTTTTATAAATGTTTCAGATATTTTCAATCATATTAAGAATTTTATCTTGGTAATAATAATGGATTTAATGAAATGTAAATTATCAAAAATAAAGTTTTAAATTTGATTAGATAATAACACTAGCAATACATTATTATTTTATTATGTAAAATATAAACGTTGATATATATATATATATATATATATATATATATATATATATATATATATATATATATATATATATATATATATAAGAAAAATATAATTGTTCAATCAAGCCAACCCAATTGCCCTGTATTAGGTCAAGATGCCTTCTGATTTAAGTAAAGAAAGAAAAGAACCCTATGATTCCCAATCTTGAAAAAGGTAATATCTTCACATAAATTTTACATCATTCCTACATTACTTTTGTTATATTTAGATCGGTTTGGACTAAGTGAATCAGAAAGCAGTTCCTTTTGCTTTCTGTTCAGGCTTCGTAGCGTGTTGGGAATTTATGTGTAATTCTTCAGCAACGTTGTTAGTCACGCATGCCATGCCATGCCGTTTTTTTTGAACTTTGAACGTTTAATTTCTGCGGAATATTAAATCATCAATCTTTAAAAATCATAAATCTTTGAAGGTGTATACGTCAACAACAAACAAGAACAGTTCATACAAAAAACACAATTCCAGTCAAAATAATGACCCATCAAGCTTTCTTCCATGAATCTGCAACATGTCTTAATCTCAACACGACACAAATTATTAATTTTTTTTTATAATCAAAAACAGAAACCAGTGAATAAGCTTATAGCATAATTTTCCTGGTCCAAGTTGCAAAGATTATTTTTTTTTTTCTTTCACTAATACTACTGGTCTTTGTCAAAAATTTGATCAACCACTTTTAATAGTCTTATTTTTCAATAATATTTTTTTTATTTGTTCAATTTTACTAAACTCAATTTCACTTTAACCAAATCTGAACCAGCTACATGCTGATAAGTCTTACTATTTGAAGGTAAAATGGACCTTTTTGTTTGCATCCACCAATTATTTAAAAAGAAACAACAAAATCCACTACATATTTCCCACATTAACAAAAAGGCTAAAGGATGGTTGACAACATGCCTAGTTTAAAATAAAATTCAACTTGACACACCCATTAGATTATTTTTACATATACTTCTTACAATTTATTTTTCTTTATATATGTTTCTATCATTACTCATCTCATTCCATTTACTTATCTTTCTTTCTAATTGTATGTACAAGCTTGTTTAACAAAGAGAAATTCAGTTTTGTTTGTGGAATATATCATATGGTGTTAGCAACTTGGTCCTATTACAAACCACCTAACTGGCTTCTATCTTTGTCAAAAGAAGTGTTGTACTAGAAGATGTATAAAAACTAGGTGGAAAAATAATAAAAAAATCTTGGCAGTTTACTGTTCAATACACCAGCAGTAGCAGTTGGGTCCAACCTAGATGTACCTAAATGACAAAACAAAGTCTAAAAAGGGAGAAGAAAAGAAAAAGGGTGGTCTTCACATTTTCTCTGCTTTTGCTATTTACATATGGTTTCTTTTCTGCCTTACTTTCTCTTAATATGATGATGATTGTAACAAAAGTCCCACTTTCTCTCTTATCTCCACTCTTGTCATTTTGTCTACCCTTCAATGCTTACCATTACAATATAAGAAAATATGAACCACCAAAACAAGAACCGAGAAAGGGAAAATAGAAAGAGAGGGAGACAGAGAGCAGAAATCTTCTTAGTTGCTCAATTTTATAAACTATTGTATGTGCAGAATTTATGACTTCCATTACAGTATGAAATGCAGTTTAAATGATCATAAAAGTCTAATGACTGTTAATTAAAAATTAATATAGTAATTATAATAAAATAAACTATGAAAACGTTAAAATCTCTACAGATGGTTATTGATCTATATTTATTTACTTCAAGTGGAAGGTGCTTCAAAATAGTGAAACTTCATCAAGATTTCGAAATAGTGAAACTTCAAAATTATTAAGAGTCCTGCCACTCTTGCACAGGCATGTTAGGGATCCACAACTACAATATTATTTTTACTTGTTCAATTTCTCATACCACACACCATAAGTGTTATCTTCATATGTTGTGAAAACTTTGGTCTTTTTTTCCCGAGTACTAGGAAAAGATTAGCCTATGTATGCGGGCCATACAGAAAGTTATTTTGATCAATAAACATGCATTAGTTTCTGTATACAGCATAAATTTATGTGATCAACACATAGGACCTATGTCTAGATTGTTGTTAGAAGTACAAGTAGGGTACTGACATTATGCACAAATGTTCTGCATTTAAAAACGAAGCAAAGAAAGAAAAGTGATCAGATTGGTACTTGAAAACTGATACAGAAATGGTTTTTCTTTCTATAGATGTCAGCAAAAAATAAAAAGGAAAAGAAATAAAAACACATTATCATTATCTGGGTTTTGAATAACTTGATAAACTGATTAGACTAAATTGGCATATAACCAAGAAGAGGGACCCTCTCACCCTTCGTCAAGTTAACCCACCCACCTTCCTTTTGGTGCATCTTTCTGCGATGATGACAACTTAGGATACGGTTATGTCCTTTCCAATCCTTGTTACCAGTAACATGCGTCCCTTCCAAGCAACCTCATTCCCTTGTCTTCTCTTCTTTTGCCATCTTTGGATTCTCTTCATCCGAACACACACTCCACTGGTCATGGTTGGTGTGACACAGCAATCGCACATAGACAGACACAGTGAAGACCCTTATTCATTGAATTCATCACACTCAATCAAAAGAGACACCCTGGCTTATGATTATTCCCAAGATGTGTTTTCCTAACTACAATGATAACCCTTGAAAAACTGGATGGAATATGGAGAGAAGAAAAATTAAATTCATTGGACAAAGACACTTTTTTTTTTTTCATCTTTCACTAATGGAAAGGAAAAAGATACCAATATTTTGAGGTGGGAAAACAAAGCAGGAGAATAAAGAAAGAGTTGCCATTTCATGGTAAGAAAGCCACTTTTACAATTAGACCAAGCTTTGTACCTTGTTGATGGAGGAAACCATAAACCATTCAATTCAAGACCCTTGTAACCATTCTCTCTATCTAAATCATCCACAACACAGGACACAATCTCTTATATTTTCTCCTCAAGAGGGAGATTCTGACACTCTTGGTGAGGTCAGTGGGAACAAAGGCAAGAGCTGTGGTTCTGAGTCTCTCGGAGTGGTCATGGGAGAGGGATGCAAGTAGAAGCCCTTTTCAGCTATGGCCTTTTCCTCCTCTGATGAATTTCCCAATGAAGGTGAGGACTTGTCAAAAGGGTCATCATTCAATGGGGTGACAGGGCTGAGAGCAAGGGAAGGGAAGTCAAGCAAGCTAGGGGAGAGGATCTCAGGCTTATTTCTGGGTGAGAACCCTGGAGAGTTGTTGTGAGCAAAATTGGGCATCAAGGTGTTGAGCATGAGGCTGTTCTTGATGCTGTTCCTCCTCTCATAGAGCTTGAACCCTTGCTGCTTCTTTGGTGGAGTCTTGATTGGGGGGATGTTGAAGTTTCTGGATGGTGGAGGTGGTGGTGTTGGCACTGGATCCTGTGCTTGTTTTGTGGTGTCTGATGAGCCAGTTAGCATTTGGACTACCTGCTTGAAAGTGGAGGTGTCAGCCTGGACAAAAGTGGTAGGGTAGGGGTTGGAGTCAGATCTGGGGATGGTCTTGGGAGTGAGAGGTGGTGTCGAGATTTGGATGCCATTGCTGTTACTGCTGCTCATGCAGTTGCTCACATTGCTTGTTGGAGAGTTCATAGGGGAAAGGTGGCTCTCTCTTTCTTGAAGCCTTGAGCTGATTTCCATGCCCTTGCACCAAAACCAACAAATTAATATCTGTCTAAAAAGTATATCACAGAACAAAAGGGGTTAGAGGTGATATGGGTGGGGATTGGAGAAGAAATACATGGAAGAGTGAAAAACAAGGCTTAGGGAATGAAGAGGGTTGAAGGGAACGAGGGTTGAAGGGAACGAGGGTTGCTTGCTTATTGTGCTTTGTTGTTGTTTCTATACTATATACTACTTTTTTGGTTTCTTTTTCTCATACTATTCAAACTTTTATAGTGCAATGAAATATCTCACTCCCTTAAAAAAAAATTTTTTTTTTTTTTTTTGGGTGGGGCTTGAGGGTGTGGTTAGCTAGAGAGAAAATACCCCAACAGGGTTTGGGATTTATAAAGACACAAAGAAAGGGAATTGGTAGAATTGGGAATTTTGGTATGAGGCATCTGTACCACACCACTAGCAAAGCTATGATTGTTGTGGTGTTAAAAATATTTGTGGCATTGACTTCAGAGCCTAACTACTGGGACTATTGCATTTGCATATGTGATGGGATTGAAGATGATGATGATGATGAACCATAGATGGATCCATGTTCCAATTCATTCCTAGATTGTGGCTTTCTGTTCTGTTGCTTTCTTTGTGCACTTTCAAACAGAGCGTGCAATTCACCTACAAATTGTGTGTGAGATAACCCTCCCACTCTCACATGGCTAACCTGCCTAACTTAGATTAATAAAATGGTATTCAAAAGTTCAAAGTTTGAAGAATATTTTTCATGTTTGTTTTTGCATTTTCTACAACAAGTTTTTTCCTTTTCTATAAATGTACACATAAGTTAATGACAACTTTTACATCTTTTCCTACTTCTATAATTGAAAATGATTTGAGTCAATTTCTCATAACTTGTTTCATAAATAAAATAATTGAATTCAAACTTTAGTTGAAGCTTATGTGAATAAAAATTTCCATCTTAAGTTTAATTCAATTTAACTTCACAACCTATTTAGTCTAATTCAAGAGGTTTTCAAATTACATCACCCAAAACAAAATAAAAGTCAAGCTTATAGAAACAATTGACATTAATTTTAAAATAATAATTTTATCATATATATTATGGCTAACTAACGATATTAAAATATTTACATTGTCAGTACATTTTAATAAATAAAAAAATATCTTTTTATTGAAAATTATTTTTTGAAAGAAAAATTAAAATTAGTATAATATAATAATAATAATAATATTTTAATTAGAATCATAAGAATATTAAAATATACTTTAAATTTTATTTTCTTTGAATTAAAAACAAAAATAGCAAACTTTGTTTGAATTACGTATCTAATTTGCTAAGAGGCATTCACACTTTACAAAAAAATAAAGTGTTTCGTGTTATTTTTCATTGTATTTTTATATTACGCTAAAAAGTAAATAAATTTTCTATTGTAAATATGTATATGAAATTTAAAATGTAATAAAAAAAACTTGTAATATTATGAAAGAGAAATTAGATGAGACTTTTGATAAAAATAATATGCATATATGTGAATTTTGACATAAAAAATTTTAAGATGTCAATACTCAATTAGTTTTATAATGTTATCAACTTGTTCTCTAACACATAATACTATTTTTATTATTAATTAAAATATTAAAAATTATGAAATTTAATGAAATGGGAGATTAAATTTGCATAATTTTATAATTTTTAATAAACTTCAGTTAATATTATAATAAAAATATATCCCATATTAGAGTTTAGAAAAAGGATGATGCAGAACATGTTATGTCCAGTGGGGTTATATTGGATAAGGAATTTTCTTTTACTGGTTAACATGAGAGAATCATGTTGTAAGAAAGAAAATATAAAAGTAATTAAAATCAATAAATTTTATATTATATATATATATATATATATATATATATATATATATATATATATATATATATATATATATATATATATATATATATATATATATATATATATATATCCTAATCATATCCTATTATAGCTAGTTTCCATTATTTTTCTCTCTTGCAATATGATCCTCTCATGTTGGATTGTTCAATTTCTTCAATTCTTTTGAAAGTATCTTGCAGTCCTACATAAACTGGTGCTCCATCATGACAATTGTAGTAATTTGAATGGTAAGTTATTTTGAATTATTATAGGTTTAACATCCAAAATATCTTGATGAAGTCACTAATTGGCATTAATTGACTTGTTTAATCAGTGTTTTTGTAGGTTGATGGAGTACGTGAATAAGTTCGGTTCCCAAAAGAAAGTGCAGCAGCAGGGAGCACTTGTGGATTCCATAACTTTCATTCTCCAAAGCTGCTGATTGGTAATATGTAATTTCTTTCATATCTCCACTTGAGTTAGTGGTTTAGATTTTTCTTTCCACACTTTAAAATCTTGAAAAGCAAAAAAAAGAAAAGGGAATCAAATTCTGATGTACATTATTTACATTAAGAAAAAAGATAGACAGCAGCAGAAGAAGAAGAAGAAGGAGAGGTGGTGATGGGGGACCAAATGCCAATAAGACAAAGTCACTCAATGCTTTTAAGAATTCATTTATTACTCTTTAATGGATAATCATTGTTAGGGTAGTGTGGAATCCATTTTTAAACTTTTCTGTTATGCAACAAAATTCAGAACTTATTAATGTCTGATTAAAAAAAGTTGTGGATTTATTACCTGGTTAAGTGCCAATGAAGAAACCTACTGTACTAGCTATCATTGCAATCTAATACAAATCATAATGCTTTGAATTTTCAGCATCGGTAAATTATTAAATGTCAAACTATAGACAACACATATATAGAAAATATGTATGTATATCCTGCAAAGTTTTGTTTCTTTTATTTTTTACATAATTTTATGAGTTTAACATTAATGAAAAATGTGTTTTTTTATTTATTTAGTTTTAAGATTTTGTCTTTCTTCCAAGTTAATTATTATTCATCTAATAACAGTTTATAATTTTTTTTATTTCGTCTCTATTTACTTAGAATTTTATTTCAATTTTTTATAATTTTTATTTTTATTTAAATTTTATAGTTTGTAAGCTTTGATGTTCCACGAAGGTCCTTTTTATTCACAAAAATGCGTTCATGATTCGTAGGTTTCACTTATTGGTGATACTCAATTTCATCCATTTAGTATACATACATTTTCAGATTTAATCACAAGAACATGAAACATTTTTAAGTAATTTTTATTTTATTTTTTTCAATTACTAAAAAATTACGTCAAATTATATAATAATCAATGTAAATTCACGTATATACTAATGTAAGGTAATTAATTAGAGAAAATGAAAAACTTATTTTTATGAATGAAGAAAAAAAAGTTTGAAAAAAGGATTGATATATTGATACAGTTTGAAGTTGGAGAGTAAATTAAAATGTTAATGGATTTTGGAGAGAAAGTGAAATACCATGCCCACCTTGAAGTGGGAAATGAGTAAGCATTGAAGAATGACTAGCAATGAACACATGACAGAGCGCAATACCAGATTGTGTGATATCTTCAACAACAAAAGAGACCATCCTAAAATAAAGTTAAGCCATGATCAATTTGTTTTGAAAATGACCCTTTTTTTTTCTGTTCTTCAGTTCTAGTGGTGGAGTCACATGATTGGAGAATTGGCATACAATAGGAATTAAAGATCTTCAATCAAACATATTAGTAATGGAATTTGCATACAACATGGAAGATCTAAATAAATATATATATCTTGTGTAACTATCTAAAGAAACCAAGAAAAGAACATAACCCTCCATTCCAAAACACATTATTCTTCACATGAGTCAATTTTAAGCTTCTGATAAGAGGAACAAGAACCCCACAAAAGGGTAAATAGACTAATTTCTCTGTCTTCACAGTAAAAGTCTTACATGGTGCATGCATATGTTCACACAAATGGGGTTTCTTAATTCATATGCAGAAGCAAGAAAGTTTCTGATTTTAAAACAAAAAGTTTACTTTAGTGCTTTTACTCTCTCTCTCTCTCTCTCTCACACACACACAAGTAGATACACATTGAAGCAGTGAACTAGGCATAGTGTGCTAAAACCACTGACACGCCAACACCCACTGTTGCACATATTTATATCTCTATCAAGACCATGCAATAACATTGCAGACAAACAGCACACTAAAATATTCCATGATGCCATAACTTTATCACTCCTCTGCCATTTTATTTATCTCCAAATACTGCCATGTGCATGCTTTCACAAATTTCTACAGATTATACTTGTCAAATGCCAATTGGTGAACACAATCTGTCCCCTAAACAAACACAGACGGTGAGTTATCAACTATTTTATCATGTCAAATGCAATAAATCAACCATGGATTCACAAAAATGCTCTAAGAAATGTCATTGGCCGGCTTGCTTGACTATAGCCTACATAGGACCATAAACAATGTAAAGTATTAGGTGTCACTGGTGGTTCTTATACAAAGGTGAAAAAAAGGGTCACAATTTTATTATAATCACAATCCCTATGATGGTGTATCTTTTCCTTTTCTTATACACCATGTTTTTTTTATCATAAATAATATATATTTTAATAGGGTTTTTAAGAAAAACCTATATAGGTAGATAATATTTTAATTTAATTATATATTTTACCACTTAACTATTATATAATTTGTGACTTCACTTTATATTTAAATATAAAATATAAAATTACAAACTATATATTGGGTTGGCTTTGGAGGGTCCGCCAAGCTTATTAGGGTTTAATTATGTCACCGTCGAGGCCGGTTTAAGTCTGAAGATGGACATACTAGCTTATGTGTTTTGAATTCTATGTACTTTGGTTATTTATAGTTATTTATATCTACGTATATAAAAAATAAAATATTATACAAAGAAAGTGAGAAGGATTAATTATTCAATTCAATATAAACAAGGTTACGCCGAAAACTTTGACAATCTTGGTAGGATAGTTCAAATTCATTGTTCCGCAAGGTTCTTTTTCCTTTTTTCTTTTTTCGTCATTTGAAA